TGCAATTAAGTGATCCAGAACAGGGAAGCGACAGTTGGGTTCACCAGAAATGGGAGCGGCACAAAAAAAACTCAAACATTAACAAAAAGCTACTTTCAGCTGCTCCTTTATTCACAAGAAGTTTCTACAGCAGGTAACTCTGCATATTTGGCAGATTGTCACACCAGATGTCCCTCCTAATGCAACCCACAAGGAATCTGTAACTCCATGTAGGATCAAACCAGGAATCTTTTACTTGTTAGCTGCTCCATTGTATAAGGATTTATAGATTTGCCTATCAAAGATTTACAAAATACAGTAAGAAAAGTACACACAGTAACGGACGTGGACAGTTTTCACTGTTTTTAACACTCCATTTCACGCTGTATGTTATAGTTTTACTCTTCTCCACAGCTGGCTGACAGACCAACAACAGCACAAGTCAGAGACACCCACAGGCTGATTGTACCACGTATACAACCCCAGTCTGACAACAGATGCTCTCTTCAGGTAGACGGACCCCACTGCCGCAAGAGTGCCAACCACCACTAAACCATAATTTCCCCTTCACTCTGCAAACCCTAATGACTTTACAGGCTCGATCAGTAGTTTCACTTTTTTTGAAGAAAACTGTTTCAAAACAGGAAGATGGCAAAAACATTGACATCACTGTTTGCATAATCTAAGACAGCTTAAGCTTTGCTATCTGTGCAGACCATCATTCCTCCTAGCAACTGAAAACTGGTTGGCTACCTTGTCTGTTCAGTCAATATGCCATTAAGTATATTGATTATTAGACCATTAAGCATCCACAGCTTTTCATACTCAACTTTTTAACTGTTAGGCCACCATCTGGGTTCTCATATACTGGTTTTCCCCAAATATGGTATGCAGTGTTTTATGTAGTACAGCTAGCAGAAGTTAGTCTGCTAACTAGTTAGAAACTCATTACAGAATCTGTGGGCAGAAAATCACTGGTGAAATTCTTCCGTGGTTTCAGCTTTGGGTCCTGTAGTGTTCTGGTGCTGTCTGTTTTTTTTCCAATGCATCACCGTACCTGATCTTAGATTTCCTCCAACAGCTGAGTTCTCCCAGATGCATGTAGCCATGCGTGTTAGTGCGAACACACAAGATAGCAACAAAGTAGCAAGCGGAGGTGCACAATTTGAGGCAAAACAAGGATGTTGACTTTGAACTATGTCTTCAATGTAAAGGTGAGCATTATATGGTTAATGTGGTTCCCATACTGTATGTGCACACAACCCTACTGAGCATATCACCACTACTAACACCATACCAGGAAGCTGTCTTGTACACACATGCGTGCAGAGTGTGGCTGCAGTCATATCATCCTGTCTACAGCTGTATTTTTCATCCGTGGTTTAATCTCTGCCTCCTCTGATCTATAAAAACCAGTGAAGCCACCAGAGCAGATGGCAGAGATCTGGCTGTACATTATTTTATAATCACATTCAGCAGGAATACCGGCCGCCTGACACCAAATAACTTTCTCTGCCCAAATGAAAAGTGTCACATATTTAACACCTAGCCAGACTCTACTTTCACCACACGTACAGACCGCTAATTAGAGGAATTAAATTCACACATGGCTGAAAGAAAACATGTGCAGCTATAATGAGATCTGACCCATATTCGTTTCAGCATCATTTGGTTGTTTATTCCCACTGGCCACTCCTGGAGATGGCAGCTCTTTTCATTACCTGTATATTAGATGTGAACCAGCCTGCTTGTTTATAGAAGCCACTTAAATCTGACACCGACTCAGACCGAGCCCTTCCAGCTCTTCGCCTTCATTTACTTCTTAAGGTCCAGCAAGCTGTAACGACGTCAGCTTATGTGCTGCAGACGGCCCTCGTTCTCTCAGGATGATTTCATTATATTTATTGTAACACATTGTTCCAGCTTGACCTCTGCACGACATGTCCATTAAATTTTAAGCCTGCTCTGGATCACCCCACCTACACCTACCTTAAACGAATGCTTCTGCAGAAAAGGATATTCCATTGCCACAAACCTCTTTTCAATTAAATATATGCTGCTACTGAGTAGTTTATAAATGGCTTGTTACTTATGATCAACTGAGAGATGCCAGCAAAAACAGAGATAACATGCTAATCTATGATATCACATGCCACAATTGCAGTTTGACCTGCAAATGGCATATAGATTCTTTACTGGATATACTTTTCACAGGTATATGCCACACTGTACAACAGACTGGCAACAGTTACCATGGATCTAGCCACTGAGTCTAAAAAGTGAAGCCCATGCATGTGGAAGTGTCTTAAACCTGCAGTTTTTTGTAATGGCTAGCAATGACTGGCTCCCCTGACTTCAAATTATATAGAAGTCTTAGTTCTCACTTGATTTATTACTTGACCAAGTATTTTTCTGATGAGCGTATGTAGAGTCTCAAATGCTAGGTTCGAGTTATATTCAACACAACATTATATCCATGTTGTAAATTATGGTTGACAAGTTTTTGTACACAGGTCTTCTCAGGTTCTACCCTCCACTTTTTGGTAAAAACCATTATCAAACCAACATGTTACTTCTTGGTGGTTACGTTCATGTTTTATATACAGTTCCTGGTATAACTGCTGTTTCATTTCCTCTGCATGTACTATTTTTGAGTGATTTAATTACAAATATTTGACCCAATTACACTTTGTTCCAGATGAAGTGAAGAAGACACCACATGCATTATACTGCCAAAAGTGTAGTGTAGTGTGAAGGACTCTTCAACACCAAACTTTCTCATCCACGTCTTTATGCACCTTGCTTTGCAAAAAATGTTGGGGACCGCTGCCTTAGACTGCCCATTCTTTCACAAATGTTTGGATGCCTAGGTGCTTGATATTCATACACCCATTCAAGTGATTGGAACATCTTCATTCAGTAATTTGGATGGATGAGTGAATAATTTTGGCAATATAGTACATGAGAACCATCATTTTAAATCTTTAAATGAACATGAGGATGAGGTTGCCATTTAAAGAGCTTCCTTAAAAAGCCCTTTAATGCCCATTTTCCTTAGCATTTCAATGGGAACCATACAAGACCGTCTCCCACACAGGGCTTAAAGCAGCAGAGCAGTTATAGTCTATCAAACAGTGTATAAAGCCACCGTTATGTCCTTACAGGCTGCTTAAATCCTCAGTCAGAAGCCTCTGTGTTTGTCCACACTGTCAGCTAGACGGCCTGATGAAAGGCAGTCGCTCTGCAGCCGGTCCGTCTGTGCTTTCAGGTGAGAAGGTTTCATTATATTGATTTCCCAGGAGGCTCACCTCTACTCAGTTCTCTCCTTGTTGGGTCATTTCTGCTCAGTTTCTGAGACCTTCTCATTATTCTGCAGCCCGATACCCAAACGCATGGATCAACGAGTGATTCTGTGCCTCGATACATGCTGTTATTTTTTTCTGTTCTAACACCCACACTATCATTTACTTTCATATTCCTCATTGCTGTAAAACCAGCAGCAGCCATTAATCATGAGTCTGAATGCTCACATTGCTTGTTTCTCATTCAGCCCGCAGGCTGTCGTGGATGCCGCCTTCCCAGAAGGCCGCTGGCTAGCAGCTTGTTACTGTGTCAACTAACTGACCACCCACGACTCTGCCTGCATGCCTTGGCCTGGCCCCAGAGGCTCATGGGTAATCTGTCATCCAGTGTGTGTGTGAGTAAACAGAAGAATATTAATCTTATGTTTGCCAAGACCTCAAATCCACTCCCACTCAGCCTTTAATTAACTGTTTCACAGTAATTCAGGGAGCTGATCTAATTATTTCACTATCTGGCCAAAATGGTTATAAAAAAAGTTCTTTCCAGGTCTGATGCATTCAGGATTCAAGGAGGAAGTGATGATGCTAAAACCTTAAAGGACTGTTACAAACTGGAATAGTTTGTTATGTTTGGTTGGGGTTTTTTTGGCCTAGTCTTGACATCTCTAGTCTGCTTCATGTCTTGACTTTTGAAGCCCACATTACATTTCAAGAGAAAATGTAATCACTGCTTTCCAGTCTCATGATCTCCGTGTTTACTCCAGCAGCTGTGGGCACAAATGAATCCGTGCAGCTTGAAGTAATCCTCATCAATTCAGCACAGTGTTTTCTCGGCAAGCATACTGCCAGTGCAGAATGTCGTGATTAGGGTGGACTAGACAGATATTAACATGACAATGAGCCAATTCTTTGGTCAAGAGTAACACTTTATAAGGTGCAGAACAAGTATGCAAACACAGACTTTGAGCTGTTTAAGGCTGATTATAAGCTGAAGCTGCAGTTTGTGCATCGCTACAGCCTGAAGTAACAGGAACAGACTGACCCTTTAGCTTTGGTTCACTACAGCTCAAAACACTTTCGCAGAGATCTAGGTCGGGGTGGGCTAGCTGATGAAGCTAAAGTAAGTGAAGGGCCACATTCTGGCAAACTGACACACGTAGCGCTCATTTACATTAAACTCCATAAATATATTAGACACAGTGTTAGCATTTGCCAGCTAACAAGGCTTAAGTCTTTCTATTGTGGTTATGTTTTGACAAAAACACTGCGGTCTAGTTTAATACAGTATTCAACCATAGCAAACAATTTTACTTGATGATACTTCATGATAGATGGTAACTCTGGATCTGTATCCTACCATAACTCCATGTCATGGCCCAGGGGCCCAAGGAAAATGAGATGGACACAAGCGCAGGATCCAAACCGGAAGAGAAGCAGTAAGTGAACAAAAGTTTATTTTCCCACATAGTAAACACAAAATCCAAATTTAAACTATGACACTATATTAGTTGGCGTGCTATCAAAGCTAAGGCATTTAACTGAAAACTAGGCAGCTCTAGAATACAGTGGTACAGCTGTGACTGTGGGGAGGTGGAAGCTGGGCCGGGGGGAAACTATGACCACTGAAATGAGAGGAGAGCACAGTCAGAGTGGTCCAGCGGTGAATCGGAGTTCCCAAAGTCAAACTAAGTCACCTTATTTGGTTACAGGTGGAGGGAAGCAAGAGGGGACGGGTGGAGCCGAGGTTCAGGTGAGCACGAGGAAGAGGTGTAGCAAGCAGGTGAGTGACAAAAGAATTGGCAATGGTTTACCAGCAGCAGGTGACCAAGGTCCAGGGAAGCAGGGATGACTGAGGCAAGAACCCCACTCCAGAAGCCGGCTATGAAGACAGGAAAAAACAGGTAAATTTTCACACAAGATCTAGACTGAGCGATACGGCTAACATGGGTTAGCAAATGCTCAGGCAATGACTAATTGAGCGTGCAGGTCTTATATGCTGCTGCAATAATTGCCAACAGGTGGCCGGCCAGAGAGGAGCAACCAGTCTCCACCCAGAGGAGGGCTGCTGCTGGATAACTACAGACACTCCACATCTGGGAGAAGAGCCGAATGAAGATGGAGAAAAATGTGAATAACTGCTGATGTTTGTCAGATACAATGATTATTTTCTTTGTTCCCTGATTGCTGAGATTTGGGAGAACGGTTTCATAAAAACTAAAATTACAGTTAGAGTGAAGAATTGGTTTGGAGTCATTACTGATGACACAGGTTTTACATTGGCATTTTTAGATAGTTGCCTGTGCAGACCCTACCCAGAGAGGTATGCAACCCATGTGTAGATGTATGTGGATGATGCTCTTCTTAGACTGAATCCTGACTGGAAGCGTAGGATAGCAAAGGGAGCGAAAAAGCATCAGATTAAAAAGGTGGGGACACCAAAAGCACAGGCAGCAGCAAAGTGGACAGTGTCCATTGTTTTTAATGCTTGGTTCCACTTCAGCTCAGTGCATGTTGAAAACTGCACTTCTCCACAGCTGCTTCAAGGTCACTAGCAAGAGTAGCCCACATACTGGTGTTTGTGACAGTAAAGCCTGGTGGGAATAAACAACTACAACATGTAGACTACGGTCCGCAGTGCTGTTCATAGGCTCTACATAGGACCAACTCACAACTATGTTTAAGCCGAGACCTCAGGGGGTTGGCAAAAGTGATTTTGGTGCTTATTTAATGGAGATGGAAGTCTGACTGTGAACTATAGCGTCTACGGGCTTTTATAAATGTGGTGCTTTTTTCCTCTTAAAAGAAAATATCACTCAGTAACTTATTTATATGTAACTGGTATAAGAATAAGAGTAAATGTCCTGAAACCTGATTTTTGGTGGGCAGGGCTGTATGCTGTTTCATTCTCTGCAGGTAGAAAACTTATCAAATGGGCTGATTTTATTATCCATCCATCCATTCGCTTCCGCTTATCCTTTTCAGGGTCGCGGGGGGCGCTGAAGCCTATCCCAGCTGTCATAGGGCGAAAGGCGGGGTACACCCTGGACAGGTCGCCAGTCTGTCGCAGGGCTAACACATAGGGACAGACAACCATTCACACTCGCATTCACTCGCACATTCACACCTAGTGACAATTTGGATTAATCAATTAACCTATCCCCACAAGCTGCATGTCTTTGGACGGTGGGAGGAAGCCGGAGTACCCGGAGAGAACCCACGCAAACACGGGGAGAACATGCAAACTCCACACAGAAAGACCTGATCTTATTATCTTTGAACAAAGTCGGTCCAGCATTTCCAGCAGTTAGACTCAGATAATCAGCAGTTTGATCTTTTTTTCTCTCTCGGTAAGAAATTGGAGCATATTTCCTAAATCTCATCATCTCCAGATGTAACATAATCTTTTTTAATTATCAGTTTTCCTCCCACTCCTTCCCATCAGCCCACTCACTGGCAAATTGGACAGTAAGTCGACATGCATTAAGAAGCGCGTTATTTACATTTGCAGGTTTTGTGATAAATATCTAACTGTATGATTGTGGTAAAGAGTACTCATTGGGCTTGTACGTTATCCTAAATACATTAAATATACAAATGAATATTAATTATTGTACTTTATTTATTATAACTTACTGTGGACCTATAATTTGATTAATATGTTATGGAAAAGTTTTCAGATCTTCAGATGACCTTTCTTTGCACTTCATATATTTTATTTCCCATACAGCACAACCTTATTGTTTTTTAACAGGCAGAACAATGTTCAGACAGGAGCTTTGCAAGTTAAATTCTCTATCTTATATTAGCATAACACATATACAGTACAGCGCTGCTTTGTTCGCCTTAAGCGAAAGCTGATTATAATTAGTGAATTAAATTAGTGTCGACTGCAGAAAAAAGTAAAGGAAGAAGATAAAAAGCTTATTATTTGTTTGAGCGTGGGAGTCCGTGTGTGTGAGTGTTTGACCTTGAGCTTGTGTGAATGTTTATTTCCATCACAGTATATCCATTTTTTAAAGAAAGCCCAACAAAAACTCTGAGACCTGCACGCTGCCTTCTCTAACTTGTGCTCACTGTTCTTCTGCTCAAAGCCGATGGAAAAATCCAAATGGTGAATTCAGAGGGATGCATTGCTAATCTGATTGTTCTGACCTCGCTGCTCTTTGCTAACCTGTAATGGAAGAATGCCACACTCACAAAGACCATGAAAGAGAAATTAGACTCGCAGACTGGAAGCATTTTAGCTCCACAATCTGCATAATGAACTTTAAGCTGCTGATCCCCGGCTGCGTCTTTCTTTCTGCCTCACTTTCTTTCTATTTTTTTTTTCCTTTTTCTTTCTCTGTCTCCCATAACAGGCTGCAGCCCGCTGATAGCAGACCTTCAGTCAGAGAGGATGGAGCTGTGATGTTTCTATCAGCAGACAAGCGAATGAACGAACTTCCAGCTGAGCCTCTGAAGCCCCGTCAGCTGCCTCCCTCCTCTTCCTCCTGACCCTATCCTCTGTCAGCCCTTTCTGTTGTCTCACATTATCCCCCCGTGCCACTCTGTGACTCTTTTCTTCTCTTTCGTAAATGGTTAAAGTCACTCCTAGAATATGTTATGTTCCTTTATCGTCTCCGTTGACGCTTTCATCACAGCTGTGAAACGCTTTCGTGTGAAAACAGCAGAGTCCCATTAATCATTTCAGTCGACTGTCCAGTTCTGGTATCAGTGTTTGAATGTTTGATGAGGTTTGGACTGCTGGAGGATGTTCGGGTGGAGTCCAGTGGGAGTCGGTCCAGCTGCTGCTGCTGTTCAACAGCCTGAAGCTGTTTGCCTGATCATTAGTTCGCCTGATGTTACTACTCAAACAGACCTTTTTTCTTTTTTCTTTTTTTTTTTTACACCGTAGTTTGGAAATATTAGAGCATATAAATACAGAATATGTATGAGCGACCCGAGGAGCAATGATTTCAACGGATGTAAGCCTTTACAGTACCTCTGTTATTTTTTTTACTTGCATATATGCTTATTTCCTTGAAATCATGCTAAGCTAAACATGGACTCCATCTGAAGTCCACTTGTTGTCATATTGATATGACTAATTACATTTTTCGCAGGCTTTGGTTGTGGCACATAAACAGGAAACTGTGTGGGGAGCAAAGGAAAAGTATTTGCAGAAAAGTGCCACGCATCAGTTCAAATTGTGTTCAAACGGGGAACGTAAAATGTCATATACATTATTTTACAAAAATACACATTACATGTACTTTAGTCAAATCTTTCAGAGATGTCTGCTGGCTACCTGAAACATATTTAATACTTCTATAGGATGCTAAAAGTGACAACATAGAGGAAACTTAATGTCTTGTTTTGACAAATTGCAGTAATATATTCTCTTTTTTTAAAAATAAATAAAAAAGGTGATAGCAGGGCTTAGATTTCTCTGGCACTGTGATGAAATCTGATGGCAGATAGTTATGTGCATAGCAAATAGTCTTCCTCATTTTTTTCTAGCTGTCACATAACTAGAAAATGGCTGCATGTATTAAGCCAGACCTCCCTTATGTCTTAGTCTGATGTATTTTAGACTAACATACAAAGTATATGTGAAAAATTTTATCTTTAAGATCCACTTAGTGAAATAAACTTGTATTACTAAAAATAAAAGCCCGTGTTGTATATTAACAACATTGTTTAAATGTTGTTAAGAAGCATAATAAACCTGCAAGCTTTTTAAATACGTGCTGTAATACATATGCAGTTATGCACACCATGTCTTATTTTTGTGACAGCGATTTAATTTAATGGGTGAACCCTCAAAAGGGTTAAGATGGTAGAAACATGGACAAGAAGTGCTGTGTGAGAAGGTGGACGTCACAGATGAAGGAAGAAAGAAAATTGACAGAGGAGGAGGGAGCTGTCAAGGTGAAGGAGGGTAACAGTTTTCCTTTTTCCTTTGTGCAGCTCCCCAGAGGCTCTCCATTTATCTCTCTTCCTCTCACCTGCTTCTCTCTGCCTCAAATAAGAGATTTCCTGGTGGTGTTTTTACCTCTCTGTTCTGTCCCAGTCATTTGGTATTTATTCGGAATCCAAAGAAACACTCGACAACTTTCTTTTTACCGTAAGTCTGGTTGTGTTACTGTGTCTGTTCTGTTAATGCTTCCTGCAGGCGTCTCTTTCTAGTTTCCCAACTGTCCCTTCTGTTCTTTTCTGGCTCTTTTTCCTTTTTGTTGTCATCTCCTGCTTACATGTGATCCAACTACAGACACTGATCTCCAGAATTTAGTAAGATTACACCCAGAGCCAGATCCTTCCTTTCCTTTGTGCTTCTCTTTTTTTCTGCTGCACTCCTGCTGTGGATACGAAGTCAGAGACAGGCTGTCCTCAGTGGAGCAAACCTCCCCAGGTGTTATGACTCACCTGTCTGACACGACAGACACAAAAAGTTTTCAGACTCCACTAGCATGACCTTGTTATATCTGTTACAGCTTTACCTCAGTGCCCTCTACATTTCTATGTATATTATGTTGGGAAATACTGCAGCAGAAATCGTTTTAATCAGCCGTTTTTGGCAAAAGCTGCTTTGCATTTTCAATCCCTCTTTGCACAATCACATCCTAAAAAGAAGTACAGTAGTGTTCTTAGTTTGTTGTGCAAAAGTTTGACTGCTTTAAAAACCAGTTATACATTTTATCTTTTTAAAAAATATTTTTATCGAAATCACATACGTATGATTTCTGGTTATTTTGTGTCTTCAGCTGTGAAACTTGCATGTATTTTGTATCATTTCGTGTCTGCTGCATTCCAGATTTTGTCCCATTATGGGTTTCACTTCACTTTGCATCTTCTTTTGGTTTTTATAGTATGCGTGACTTTTGTGGAAGTGTAAGTTTGCTTCAGCTGCTCATTTTCAGGCCCCTCTCCTCTACCAGGTTCCCCCTCTCAGCATCTGTCAGAGCTTATGCTTTAGATTTATGTAGTACAGCTGTGAGCTATTTTAATGATGATCTCTAATTACTTTTACTGGTGAACTTCAGACTTCACTGACTTCAGATTTTCTACTACTTACCAACCTGTGTAGAGCTTTAGCACCTTTAAATTAACTGTTTTCATTTCAACGTTTCAGCTTGCCGCCCACCATTCTCTTTGTTGTCACGAAAGCTTCAGAAACACTGCACACAACCTGCTGAGCATCAAACAGCAGAGAGACAACAAGAGTAAACAACTGGGTGGAGATTAGAACAACTAGAGGAGATGTTGATAAAAACTAACACGTTCGTCAAAGTATAGCTAAAAACTAAATAAATGTGGGTGTTACTCCCAAGGTACAGCAAAGGTACCCCGTGCATTCAAACAGTCTTTAACAAGCAAGGTTCTGTTTTCACTTTAAGAACATTTGCATCCTCCATGACCTGCATGCACTTAAAATGAGCACATAAGTAGAGAGAAACATGTGTTTTATGGCTTTCTGGGTTTAATTTTGTGGGGTTTTTTTGCTGTTACACAACTACCTTTTGAACAATAAACTTTCTCCAGGACTTGAACAGATCCCTAATGCAGACTGAGTTCAGTGGCTGGTGCTTCTGGCACTCAGAAAAGACTTCCTCGCTTCTGTAACGGAGATGTTGCAGTATGCTTAAAATGAGATAAACATTTAGCCATGATGTCCCCTAACTGCTCCTGTTGTGTTTGCCAAATGGAATCAGATGAGGAAACTTGTGTTTTCTAAATGCCACTAAGCTAAACGTCTCATCAGAGAACAATAAAACAGATTTCATATGCAAATAACACAGACACACGCTGCTAAAGCAAATTAACACTTCCACAAGGGTCATTTGTGCCTGGTCTCATCTCAACTTAGGAACTTCAGATAAACTCTGCTGGTGATTTTGATGATTGTTACATCTTTTGTGGGATTTCTTGTGTGTGGAAAATACTAGTGAGTAAATGCAAAAATGCTTTAGGGTTGAAAATACACCACATTAGAGGATTCAAACAGCCCTTCTGGAAATGCAAACACAATCTGATTTGGACAGTCTGGGGACACGTGAATCACAACAATGAAGCATCCTGCAGAGACTCCTTTCTGCATGACCTGCACTGACACGGGTCAAAGGATGAGATTGTTTTGTGGTCACGCAGAGAAGAAAATAAAAACAGAGTTTGGAAACTTGAGGAGCCGCTCCACAGCCAACTGTCAGACACTAATTGGTTTTGCAGCCTGAGGTGGAAAACAGAACCACCGGTCCACTGGATCCACGGTTGCAGCAGCAGGTGATTGACAGTTTAGGGGTAAGAGCCGGAGCTCAAAGTGAAGCAGGAAGCCGGGCAAAGTGTTGGAAGGGTGGCAGGGTGTGTGCAGGGGTCTGAGGCTAGCGGTGTAGGATGATGCTGAGGATTTGATTAAGGCTGGAAGTGGGCCAGAGGGCTGAGTCTGGAGCCATTACAGGGCTATGATGAGCAATGGAGTCAAAACCTCATTCTATCAGTTCAGAAAAATTTGTATTTAAAGTGGACGTATTTTCATTTCTTTGATTCAGAGTTTTAGTGTTACTGTGGTGGATGCTCAAATTATGAGGTCCACACAAGTACAATTAAGCAGTTTCTGTCATGTTTTTTCTGATCCTAGCTTTGCATGATGTCAGAGCTCTGCATGAATACAATTTTAGGCACGCTTCTCTTGCTGTGAGCATTTTAGCCCCACCCACCTGCAGTTGATACCCTCAGTCTGAACGCTACCCCAACAGAGGTCGATTATCTTGTTAATAATTTTACCTCCTGACCACGTACGACTCTGGATACTGTAGCTCCTCTGAAAACTAAGGTCTCAAATCAGAAGTACCTGATTCCGTGGTATAATTCTCAAACACGTAGCCTAAAGCAGATGACTCGTAAGCTGGAGAGGAAATGGCGTGTCACAAATTTAGAGGATCATCATTTAGCCTGGAGAAATAGTTTGCTGCTTTATAAGAAAGCCCTCCGTAAAGCCAGAACATCTTACTATTCATCACTGATTGAAGAAAAGAAGAACAACCCCAGGTTTCTCTTCAGCACTGTAGCCAGGCTGACAAACAGTCAGAGCTCTTTTGAGCCAACCATCCCTTTAACGTTAACTAGTAATGACTTCATGAACTTCTTCACAAATAACATTTTTATCATTAGAGAAAAAATTACCAGTAATCATCCCACAGATGTAATATTATCTACAGCTACTCTTAGTACCATTGATGTTAAGTTAGACTCTTTTTCTCCAATTGATCTTTCTGAGTTAACTTCAATAATTACTTCCTCCAAACCATCAACGTGTCTTTTAGACCCCATTCCTACAAAACTGCTCAAAGAAGTCCTGCCATTAATTAATTCTTCGATCTTAAATATGATCAACCTATCTCTAATGATCGGCTATGTACCACAGGCCTTCAAGCTGGCTGTAGTTAAACCTTTACTCAAAAAGCCATCTCTAGACCCAGCAGTCTTAGCTAATTATAGGCCAATCTCCAACCTTCCTTTCATATCAAAAATCCTTGAAAGAGTAGTTGTCAAACAGCTAACAGATCATCTGCAGAGGAATGGTTTATTTGAAGAGTTTCAGTCAGGTTTCAGAGCTCATCACAGCACAGAAACAGCTTTAGTGAAGGTTACAAATGATCTTCTTATGGCCTCTGACAGTGGACTCATCTCTGTGCTTGTCCTGCTAGACCTTAGTGCAGCATTCGATACTGTTGACCATAATATCCTATTAGAGCGATTAGAACATGCTGTAGGTATTACAGGTACTGCACTGCAGTGGTTTGTATCATATCTATCTAATAGACTCCAATTTGTGCATGTAAATGGAGAGTCCTCTTCACACACTGAGGTTAATTATGGAGTTCCACAGGGTTCAGTGCTAGGACCAATTCTGTTTACATTATACATGCTTCCCTTAGGCAGCATCATTAGAAGACATAGCATACATTTTCACTGCTATGCAGATGACACCCAGCTCTATCTGTCCATGAAGCCAGATAACACACACCAATTAGTTAAACTGCAGGAATGTCTTAAAGACATAAAGACCTGGATGGCCGCTAACTTTCTGCTTCTTAATTCAGATCAAACTGAGGTTATTGTACTCGGCCCTGAAAATCTTAGAAATATGGTATCTAACCAGATTCTTACTCTGGATGGCATTACCTTGGCCTCCAGTAACGCTGTGAGGAACCTTGGAGTCATTTTTTCTTAGGACATGTCCTTCAATGCACATATTAAACAAATATGTAAGACTGCGTTCTTCCATTTGCGCAACGTCTCTAAAGTTAGAAATATCCTGTCTCAGAGTGACGCTGAAAAACTAGTTCATGCTTTTATTACTTCCAGGCTGGACTACTGTAATTCATTATTATCAGGATATCCTAAAAACTCCTAGAAAAGCCTTCAGCTAATCCAAAATGCTGCAGCAAGAGTACTGACAGGGACTAGAAAGAGAGCATATTTCTCCTGTTTTGGCTAAAAATTGAATTGAATTGAAATTGAAGTTTGTGATGGACAGCCAATCAGAAGAAAGACGTCAAGACGTTCAAGTTTATTTCTACAGTGCATTTAAAACCTCTTCAGTAGTCAACTAAAGAGCTGCTGTGCAGGCTATGCAAAATCTGTATTATACACAGCAGTCAGTACAATAAATAAATATAGACTCAACTGCCGAATGATAAATTAAAATTATAAAATTTATAAATCTTAATTTGAAAAGTCAGAATCAGAATAGTTTATTAATCCCTAGGGAAATTATGTGGGTTAGACTAGACTATTGGCAATACAATATGTTAAGATATATGGAATAGCACAATATATACAAATCACCAAATAATAAATATCCAGGGTTGACAGATGTGATTATAAATAAATATCAAGAAA